ACAAGATTAGTAATAGAATAAAGGGATAAGAAAGAGTGTTGAAAAATCAGAAAATTTATCTTATTCCAACATCTCAGGCAGAAGTTGCCCACCTCTGAAGTCCGTGGTTTCTGAAGGATTTCCAATAATCTTCAATTTAATGTCCTCAGATGGACTAGATATCCAGTAGTTAGGAGGAAGTGACGTTTATCTTTTGAGTTGGGAAACATGACTCTAAGGATGAATATCTTGGAGTTTTCCTGCTGTGTCAGTTGTTAACAAGGGATGAGAGAAAGACATGATTCAGCCATTGAACAAGTATTTACCCAGTGCCAAGTATACGCTGTCTTTAGTGGAGATAATTCAGTGAACAAGATAGACTCATCCCTGCTCTTGGGAGGCTTATATCCTGGTGGATGAGACCAACATATATAATTAAAGCACACTGACCAAGTACCATGATGTGCTGTGAAGAAAATACAGCATCGTAAGACAGTGACTCAGGCTATTTTACACTAGTGGTCAGGAGAAGCCTCTCCAAGGAGGCAACATTCAAGCTGAGACTGCAGTGACAAGAAGGGTTCAGGCAGGTGGAGATTTGTGGCAGAGCGTTTCAGGCAGACGAATGTTTGCAGAGGCACAGAGGTAGAAGCAAGCTTGACACTCCCAGGTGACAAAAAGGAGGTCAGTGTGGCAGACCTTAGTGCACATGTCAGGAGATGGGTCGGATCAAAGCGAGAGTCTCCCAGGACGCATCAACCCAGTCAGCGGGGATTTTGATACGGATTTTGGGTTTTGCTCTAAGTGCAGTGGCAAGTCCTTGGAGGGTCTTAATCATGGTAACACAAGACCTGATTTACTTTCAAAAAGATGCCTCTGGCTGCTGGGTGAGAATGGGTGATAAGCAGACAAGAGTGGAAGCAGAGACAAGTCAAAAGGTTGTTGCAAAGCCAGCCATAGGGAGGAACAACTGAAGTCCCAGCTACTTGGGAGGCTGAGGCAGGAGGATCACTTGAGCCTAGGAGTTCGAGGCCAGCCTAGACAACACAGCAAGGCCCCATCTCTGAAAAAAAAATGCTGTTGCAATGCTACAGACTAGAGTTGAAGGTGGCTTGACTAGGAAGATAGCAGTGGAGATGGAGAAAAGTTAATGTATTCAGGGTATATTTTGGAGGTAGAGCCAACAGGACTTGGGGAAATGGATGTGGATGGGAAGGAGTTAAGGATGATCCCTAATTTGGAACCATTTACCAAGTTTGTGGAAACTGGAGAAGGAGCATGTTTGGAAGACAGTTGGGAATAAAGAGTTCTGTCTTGGGTATGACTTAGGAAAGGGGATGCACATAAATTTCCTGTTAATTGAAAGCAGATCAAGTTTAGGATCCATTGGGAAGACAGGCTTTGAGCTGGAAGAATGAAGGTTTGGATTCAAGATGGGGGAGGTGGAGCAACAAGGATCTGGTTCAAGATGTGGGGAGAAGGATCTGGCTTAGGATCGATGAGCACTACTTTTAAGGAGGAGTCCTGACTCATCCATGAGGTACCCAGCTGTGTCCTCATCCTTCTGAGTCAGGATTTGTGGAAAATGAAAAAGAGCACTGTCTGACGGTGGTGACTGATTTCAGTACAGAAGGTTATTGGAGTGTCCCTATGGGGTCAAACAGGGCCAAGAAGGTGTCAGATGTGGCAAAGACCTCACTTGCAGAATGAACAGGATGGTTACTCTTTGTCTCTTCAGGAACTGGAGCTCTGCTATCGGAGCCCTGAAGAACCCCAGCTGTTCTCTGAGATCTACATTGGCCACTTGGGGTCAGGGATCAGACTGCAACTGAGAGACAAGAAAGATGGGACTGTGGTATTGAAGGCCTTGGTGAAACCAGGTAAAACCAGGACAAGTCCAGGGAGCCCAGAGATGGGGGAGAAAGAAAGCCAGTGAATGTGTGTGTGCATATATGTGTGTGACAGTGTACATTACCACAATTGATTAATGAGAAGAAATAGCCCAGAGAAGTTAAGTGGCTTTTTCAAGTCACATAACTGTTGTTATGACCAAAATTTATACACAAGTCGGTTTGACTCTCTAAGCCCTGTGCTCTCCCCCGTGCACCATGGTGTCCCCACACTACCCTTGAATTAACAGACCTTGACATCCACAAAGCTTTTGGCAAAGCTTCTCGTGATAGCTTGGATCAGGGATGAAAGAATAAGAACTAGATGGTTATGTGGTTATGGATTAAGCCAATTTTGGCAATATCAGATACTCTCCCCTGGATCGTTCAATATTTTCCAGGTAGACAAGAGGGAATCACCCCATAATACTTTGAAATAAAAAA